GTATTTTTTTTATTCATAGATGGTTAGGTTAAAAAAAAAGTCTCTCTAATGCATGGAAAATAAAGACTACATGGGGAGCTGATGAATAAACAGTGTTGGAAGTCTTGAACATTTTGTAATTGTTCTATACCTCAGTATGAATTGTCGCCCAGCAAGATATGCGGCTACCCACGGCTCCCTCTGCTGTTATAAACATTGCTCTTGCAAGGGCACCATCAATAGCACAAGGCACGATGCTCACGTGGACTGATTGAACTGCCCCCTTGAGGTTCCTAGTCTCTGCTGGATTAAGAATGAAGCACAAACTGAACTCCGATATCCTGCAATGGCAGCACTGTTCACATAAAGTTTCACCATATTATTAAACCATTGAAATTGAAGGCTAAGCTTGCTTTAATTCTGTGCTCCCTATATACCAGCGTAGCAGGACAAAATGATGTATGATCGCTGCCTTTGCTTTTCTACAAAATCAGCTGTGGCTAATGATGCTGAATTTTAAAGTGGTATTCTAAATGTGCCAACATCTTTAGTGGAGTTCGTTTAAAACTTTTGATTTGGCCATCCAATATAAACCTGTTTCCAAAATGAGAAATAAACATATTTTTAAAAGAAACATTAAAAATGCAATGCCTCTACAAAATATTTATTACTGTTTTGAAAAATGATTATTTATAAAAGCAGCCATAATCTATCCAAATATTCAGCATTTCATTTCCATATCATTGTTTGCTTGTACTCTGAATTTTGCACAAACATTCAGCAGTTTCTGGATTCTAATTTAACTACTTTTTTGATTGTACTACAAGGCTTTGCCATTTACTGGTTGACTTTTTGACAGCTCTTAAAGGATTTCAAATTAGGTCCAGAATGCTATGTAAGTGACTTAGAGGATAGATAAAAGCTATATACAACAGTTCTAACAGAAGCTAAAATAAGGAAATAAAACGTCAAGCACTTAAAAGGATAACAGGATTAAATGTAACTGCCAATCAATATCAGAAATTTAAATCCATATATTAACTTCAGTTTCACCATTTTTGGCAATCCCATCCAGGATCTACTAATATGATAGGCATAGTATGCAGGTATTATGCAGTTATATTATGCACATGTGGCATAAAATAGCACATTGGATCCTGCTGAAGGCACATAGCTTAATTTTGTTGTTCTTTACAAAAAGGAGCTAGAAACCACAGCTATAGTGTGAGCCTATGCTTATTTGAATGTAATACAAGCTTGTGTAGATTCACAGACTTAGTTCTCAAGGTTGTATAGAACTTACTATTAAACTGGAATCCCATTAACTCGAGTGGCATTTATTTCAGAGTAAATATACTTAGGATCAATTGATAAAATGCACAAAATTCCTCTGGACTGCACTCAAAGTAAGCATTTCAAACACAATAATATAGACTAACTGTATAGGAATGTATCAATTGCAACAGCTGCTGCTGTTCTGTGGTAAAACATGTCTGAACATTCCTGAAAAATGCATTTTATTATATAAATTGGCCCTGTATTATTGTTACATTATGAATGCAATTTAAAATATTTTCCTTACTGCCTTATTTTTAATAAGGAATTCTTAAAATCAGATGAAATGTTCCTTTGATTCTGTAGTAGTTCCATTTGAACAGGAACCAATATTGTTTTACAGATGCTCTAACTTGTTCTTTAGTTTTGTATGCAAGGTTTTCACAGTGTGATGGAGGATAATTAAACTATAATTAAGTAATTTTGTTAGTTTTTGCCTGCTGTATAGGAAATCCTGGGGTCTATTATTATTGCCCACAGCATTAATAAATTAACCATCTCCCTTTCCAGCACAACTGAATCCATGCCCTGAAGTTATCTTGGTTCTGTTTCTTTTCTTTGATGAAAATTTCTTCTTACAGCCAAATTGTTTAACAAATTGATGACAAAGACCCCTATTGAAGTTGGCAGAATTACTATAGCTTATTAAATCACAGCACCACATAAATTTAACAGAATACATTTTGGCTGTATTCAGACATACTATTCTGAAAGATAGTGACAATTCTTTAACCACTCCAATTTCTATCAACCCTATGTAAGATTAGATTCTATTTTAGAGTGATAGTGGATATATCTTAATCTGAATAAACAGTGAGTGGGTCAACCCAGAACATGTCAATAATGAATGACTGGTATCTTGGTTTACAAGTGAAGTAATTTGCTAAGAACACTGGAGTAGGAAGAAAGTTCACTAGTATGCTCTGTGCCCTCACATTACTGTAACGATAAGAGAGGTAACACAAACTTTTCAAATATGAATATGCTTGGAAAAAGTCAGCAGGCTGTTCAAGCTTTCTGAAACCTGAACAGCTATTTTTTAATGCAATATGAGCACAGTCATATCATTTAGCTGCTATTCAATCATCAGTTATTAGAAATGTATATATTTCAAAGTTTTTTAAAATAGTTTTTAGGACCACTAGTGATTACCACTATCTTGCTAAGGTCACAGCCAATACTAAGCCATGTGTTTGTTTTAAGCCCACTCTTGTATGGATAAGTGTTTGCATATAAAAGTAAACTAACAGGTCCACTATGACTTGATAAACCATGGTTAAAAAAATCCTGTCTGAATCAAAAGAAAATACTTTCTCAGGTATTTTTAACAGAACTTTTGGTAGAACAAAACATTGTGACAAAATTAATAATATTGTTGTTCAGTTGTTAAGTCATGTCTGACTTTTCATGACCCCATGAACCATATAGCGCCAGGCCTTCCTGTCCTTCACTGCCTCTGAGTTTGCTCAGTTTCATGTTCATTGCTTCAGTGATGCTATCTAGCCATCTCAGCCTCTGCCGTCCCCTTCTCCTTTTGCCTTCCATCTTTCCCAGCACCAGGGC